CCCTTCAGGCTCGTTGCCAGATACACTGATTTCTGCTCCTCAATTCATTTCTGCCAGGGGCTCAAATTGTGCTCTATATGCTTCCCATGGTGCCTTCCCATCGAATTACTGTGGCTTCCTTCATACTACATCATCCCTATTGTTGACATTCATGTGTGGGATGCGATTTCTGACAGGACTGAAGATGTCTGCATTAGTGTTTAGCTGCAGGGACTGGAAGGGGTTTCCTGTTGTCTGAGGCTGATTAGGTCAATGGCTAACATATCCTCTTTGTGTAAAAGACAGTAAATCATCCTTTAATGTATTTAATTCACTTTGAAATTTACTAATGTTTTTCCATATGTACTTCTTGCTGCTGACTTTCCCACAATTGTTGAATACTTTCTTCCTGTTTTCTTTCTTGTTTCAGGTGCCACTGCTGTAGTCTTTCTTCTTGTTTCTTTTCTTTTTCCTCCAACAACTGCTGTAATCTCTCTTCTTGATTCTTTTCTAGTTCTTCTTGTTTCTTTTCTTTTTCCTCCAACAACTGCTGTAATCTCTCTTCTCGATTCTTTTCTCGTTCTTCTTGTTTCTTTTCTTTTTCCTCCAACAATTGCTGTAATCTCTCTTGTTTATTTTCCTCTTCGAGCTGCCACTGTTGCAAGTTTTCTTGCCACTGCTGTTCTCTCTTCTTGTTTATTTTCTTTCTCCTCCAACAACTGCTGTAATCTCTCTTCTTGTTTCTTTTGCTTTTCTTGTATTGCTGCCATCAAATCTGCTAAGCTGTAGTTTGATTTGCCACCTCTTGTTTCCATCTTATACTTTTTTCATCACACTCCCGACATATCTGCTCGTTTGATAATTTTCCGTAAAATTTTTTTCTGAGAAACTACAGCGATACAAGTCCTTTCTTAATTAAAACTAGTTTATTCTTTCTCGTTACAAACTTTGTAATACACTTAATTTCCACAGTCACTTTAACTTGAACACACGTTATAATTTACAACGATTCACACACTTTACTTACGGTGCATACTGCTTGCTTGACTCAATTATCTATCTCTATATCTTTCTATCTGCAATTATTTGCCGGGCTTGTATACTAAAATAGAGGGCACCTGGAAAAGATTAGAGTTGCCAGGACCAGTCATGATTCTTCTAGAAACTCCAGTGCTCATGCTTCTAGCATCGCGTGACTTCCACTGTTGTAACAGCATGCATGTACATATAAACATACATATAGCTGAACAGCCATTTTTACTGTGTTCTGGTCTCATACTTTGATGGTCTCTTTAGTTATAGAAACAGACAGTTTCTATAACAATAAGTTTGCTGCTTGTTTTTGTATTTGTTAATAAACTTATTTTAACTTCGAAAATGTTTCACCTTGTTTGTTTTCTTCTACATTTTGTAATTTTCTCACCCAAACAATTCTTTTATTACCAGTCCCTTTAGTTATATCTTGATATTTATATAACCATTGCTAAGTCTTCTACATTCACACAATTTAAAATACAACAAATGAAAAATTGGGTCGTTGAAGTTCTTGAAAAAATAATTTTGCTACTGAATGAACCAGGCATTATCAAATGACATGGTATTAATTCTATACAATTTTTCATCTGAACAAATGATCTGGGATGATTATTAGCCAAATGTTTAATTGACATAAAAAAACTACAAATATTTTGAATTTTAATCCATATATATTTTCTTATTCAAATTCATAGTTTTGTTTTATTCTTGCTAATTCTCATTGTTGGAAATTCAATTTAGACTGTTATAATAATACTGATCAGCAACAGACTGTAAAATATACATTGTTAGTACAGAAACAAAAGCAAGAATACTGTATTAGTATATATCTTTATGGTTATGCATTATTTAGGTTCAACTATTCATACCATTAATTTACCTTGAAAACAAATTTTTTTAAAAAAATAAAAAAACATTATCTCCTTTATATAAAAGCAAAGTCTGGTAGCATGAAATATAACTATTAAAACAACTTTGATTTCAGAGTTTCTGCACCATCATTGCACTGGCACCACCTCCACCATTGCATGTGGATGCCATACCATATTCACCAGGCTTTAGGTTCATAGCCAGAGCATTAATTAACCGAGCACCAGACATCCTGAAATGAAAATATAAAAGAGAAAATTTGAAAACATATCAAGGGATGAGCAACAGCTCAATGTCACTTATTTCTCTGATGTCATCTTATTCATTAGTGGCATTTAAGCTTACATTGAACTAATCCCTTCCTCATAATAGTCTTAAGATGTGTATAATTAAAAGCAATTATAAATTTTTAAACAAATGTAGCACGCATTCCAGGAAAAGTCTAAAGTTCGAAATATACATTAGAACAGTCATAGAATACTTCTTTTAGTGAGGCTCTGTGGACAGATTTAAAAAAACTATTTTACAAATTCATCATCATTGGGTGGTTACATAAGATGATTAACAATATACATATATATATATTGTATTTACAAATAAGTACAGTTATTCATATTTTTTCCTGCCCTTTCAAGAAACACTGACTAATCAAAGAAAGGATTGTATTTCTATGACTTAAGTTTAATTAGCAATTTTGATTCAATCTAGTACCAGTCAGTTCTATAAAACAATGGGTGACTTTGATTCTAATATTACGAAATAAACAGTTTCATCCTAATGTCTTTTTTACCATTACTGCTTGCTATTATGATGTACATTTATATTTCTCAAATCAATTGGCTCTCTTCTTCTTAGCTTAAACATACTGGTCTATATAACATTACTTTTACTCAATCTTGTTAAAGTAAACAGTAACCTGAATACAAAATTAAACTGAAATTAAATGTTTTAATTTAGAGTTTAATTCTGAATAAAGCAAAACAGCATCATCCTCAAAGCTATAATGAATTAATATGCCTGTACTTTTCATTTTAAAATTAAACTCATATTTCTTGAGCACTGTCCATTATCTTGTGCATTAGTTTGATTTATTTGTGTATACTTCTCACTCTTATCTTGCGCAGAAGAATTGTATATATGAAAAACATCCTTACAAAACTAGCATTAAAATTTAATTTTTGGAATAATGCCACATGTTACCGACAGCTCTTTATATTACCACTATTAAGATTTAAACATTTCAGAGTACATCACATATTTCCATTAAAAAAACTCAAATAAGCTGGCTTGAAAGTTACTTTTACTCATTTTAACTTAGTAATACACTTTAATGTGGCAGGAGTATCTCTGATGGCCATTTCATATTTTTTAAACAAATAAAACTAAATATTTTAAAGGTGATTAATACTCAGGAAGTGAAAAAACATAATATACTTAAGATAAAACATCTGATAAATTCAGTAGTTTAAATTTAACTTTTAATCCAACAATAAAATCAGATTAACGATGACAGTTCTAACAATGATGTATTGTTAAAACTGCTCCTGTTTTAATTTGGTCAATCAGTTTTAAATTTTACTTGAATAGCTCAGGTTAGATCAAATTATGTTCTCTTGTTGAGCACAAGAAAAGTACTCAAAGTGTGCTAATATTAAACAAAATAGATTAAATTTCAATATATATTTCTGACAGGTTTTCAATGGAATTTCTTAATTATTGCTGAAAATTATGGTAGATTTACACACTTCTTCAGGTGTACATTACTAACTTAAATCTAACCAATCAAACTAATTGGTTGAAACTTCATTGTTTTAGGGACTTTTTTTATTAACTGAAAAATATCAAAGTAAAAAGATGTAACAGTATAATTTAGTGGAAAATTAAATAAGATAACAACAAACTTAAAAGCACTGAAGTGGTCCACATAATCCATTAACATTTTCACATCTGGAAGAATGATCATAACATCACCAAAAAAATATATGTATCATTCTTGTAGCAATCATACCTTTGATTTATAAACTGTTTCTAATATAGTAATCTCTTCCTTGTAGCAGTGATACATAAAATATAGGTTTAATTAAATTTAATGTGTTTTTGTTTGCTTAATGATTGAATGTAAAAACATTCATATAATTTTACTACAGCAACAGCAAAAACATTGAATTCAAGCAATGTTTTAAGTAATGTTTTAAACTTAGGTTATAAAGTATTGATAAAAATATGATACAGTAGTATTATTGTTATTACTATTTCATGTTATACACAGAATATTTAATGTAAATATATGGATGATAAATACAAGAGATGTCACAAGATAAGACTGGCTATATATAACTTAAATCTGTAAGCCTATTTATAAGATTGGGGCTTTTTAGTGTTGAGTTAGGACACTTAAATTACTGTATGGTTTTTTAATTTTGTTCTTAAGGAAGAAGAGACTAGATAACACTTATACTTACCAAAACAAGAAATTCAGGGGCTTTTTCAAATCTTTTTTACAGATAAACAGTCAGATTTCAAGAACTTAAGACTAGAGATATACCAATAAAAAAACCACTAATTACTTAGGGAGGACTGACACCATGAAGGATACTGTTTGAAGTTTTACTTAAACAAATATATTAACAAATTACTTAATATATGTATGCCATTCATGCATACTGATGTCTAAGATAAAAGCATCAATTATCCACAATACTGCATTTTCTATAAATTTTATGCACAGAATAAAATGAACATGGATATCAAAGAAAAAACAAGTGTATAAACAAAACAATGTCAGCCAAAATCACTAATGCAATATCCTACATATATTCCAATATTACTTATATTAAAAATCATTACCATTACATACATTCAAAGAGAAGCTCCCAATTCATACTAATTTGTACAAATGTCTGTATTAACCTTGGAAATGAATATAACCTCACTTTAGGAGGGCATAAACAGAAGCAGGGCTAAGCAGCAAATATAAATCTGAAGAATAATCATTGCTCTATGTAACCTTTGTTTCAAGGCCTTCCTATGCCTAAACCTAAAAAAAAACCTAAATGTGAGAGGCCATAATTACAAGCTAACTAACAAGGTTATAATTTCTGGTAATCACTTCCTTAGATCACATTAACATTATCACTGCATTTACACATATACAACAAAGGCTCTAACACTTAATAATACAAAATACTACTAAAAACTCAGAATTTAAATGAAAATAAACAAAAAAATTCATGTAAAAGTTGAAATAAAATTGAATTACTGGGAAAGTTATCTATATGAAATAAAATGAACTGAATAAATCATTTTATACTAATCAAAATCAGAATAACCAGAAAAAAATCCAAAAAAAATCAATGCAGAAAGAAATTAGCAAAGTAAAATGACATAATTAAACTAAATAAAAGTTACAAGATAAAATAACAAAGCTAAACTGAAAATGAGATTAAATGAAGTATATCTAAATATAATGCAAAATTCAAATACAAACTGAATTCACAAATTAAATCTGAATAAACAGAACAAAAAGTATTAAACTAAACATAATACATTGTTAAATAAGACATTTAAACTCAGAACTCTGGCCAGCAATTCATACAAAACAAAATGAAATCAAAAAGCTGAAGACCTAAATTCACCTATAAATAAAACAAAACCCCAGATGAAGTAATATTGGAATATCAAAATCAAACAGAATACATTAAAGAACATAGATATATGGCTTAAAATGAATGTAAAATTAAAATAATTAAAAAATAAATCCAAATGTAAACTCAAGAAATTTAAGAGAATAAGACAAAATTAAAAATGGCAAAAATTCATGGATGCAGATAAACAGAAATACCATTACTGCCACAATCATCCATCCATATCACATTTTGTGTTGTCAGCTACGAACTTCCCATATAAAGACTAATGAAGTAGGTGCACAAAGGTTGACAGCAAAATTACTTTTGCAACTGTAATATAGCAATCAGCCCAGTTCAGTATGCATTCCTACCATTTTTGAGTCATGAAAAATTCATTAACCCATATAAACATGAAATTTTCTTAGAGAAAACTCAACCAACATCAGACACATTTAGACAGATTTATACCTTAAGCTTTAATTTTTGACGTTACATTACAGCACAGCTCACTACTTGAAAAGCAAGGGTTGCAAAGTCCTTTCAGCACCTAAGCTTGTCAAAAGTTACTAGTTATTATTAACCCTACATGAATGGAATTGGTCCATTAGACAAAGCCTGTTTTGGAGAATTACTACTTACTATAATTCCAAATTTACTTGTTGTATCTCCACAAAACTTGGTCAGCTTTTAGTAAACATTACAAGCATACTGTACAGAAGAAACAAACGAATCAGAATTCTTAATAACACATCTCTGTTAAGAAGTTGTCTCTAAATGTATTTCTGCTAGTCTGACTAGTGTGAGTGTAAGGTGATTTCGATGTTAAGAATTAAAATACTGTTGCGTCAGCGAGGTCACGTGACTAGTATCACGCCACTTCTTTCTTGAACCTTCGGGAGAGTACTAGATTGGGGGTAGTCTGGTATATATAAGATGGTCACACCGTGACGGGACAATGTGTAGGTAGTGAGTAATTGAATGTATGCGGACAAAATATTGTTGGCCTCGTGAGACATGAATTATAGTGTTTGTTATAGAGTGACTGTTGAAATTAAGTGTATCGTAAAGTTGTATTCGGAAAGAATAAACCAGTTTTATTTAAGAAAGGACTTGTGTCGTTAAAGTTTCGTCGGAACGAATTTACGGAAAATTAAGTAACGACTGGAGGCGTAACAATACCTTTTTATTATCTTACAGTTTTTAAGTTTAATTTTCACAACCTCTTGAATCTCCTAAGTGAATATAAAAAGTTTTTTAGTAAAACTTCATATTTTATCTATTATTTTCTCTAATCTTAACATTATTTGCACTTTGTCCACTTGATTAACTATGTAACTACCATGAAAGAATATGAAATCTAAATTACCTTTTTTCTTTCTAGAATGACTGTAGATTATAACAGAAAATTACAATAATTTATCCCAATCACTTACAGACTCACAACAATTTACATATGTTTTCATTTAATTTTATTGTTTTATTACTTTTTGAAACTGTGTCTAACTACTAAATCTGTAAAAAAGCAATAAATTACCCAGCAAGCACATAGCTAGAGCTACAGCAAACTTAGAGAATTTTGTTGTTGTTGAGAATTTGTAATGCACAT